GTATTTTCATTGTTTCGATAATTTGTAATCCCACGAACTATCTAGGAAATGTGTCCAGCATATATATATTTTACTTAAAATACACACAATCCCCTTTTTTCAAACAACATGCATTGTCTAGGGTTTTTACCCGTTTTCTAGTCGCTTTATTGGCTACTAATGATGGCACATGTGTCATTGTTGGCTTGAGCATGTCGATTACTCAATTTCGTATTTTAATTTTTTAACCTGATTTTGATAAAAATAAATTGGCAGTAAATCTCATACCCATTTATTATTTGGTTTGAGAAACTTAAAAAGACAAATTAAGGGAACTTTTAAAAATAGTTAACTTTCCTTTTTCACCCAGGTTTCATGGAGAGGGCTTTCCCTTAACCCAAAACAAATGAAGATCTTAACATAAATGTTCAGTGGATCACACACTGATACGCATAGAAAAGTTCGCTATTACTTGCTCAGCTTTTGTAGCTTTTAGTTTCAGCTGAGCTAATAACCAGTTCCTAATTCTTCTCCGGAAACAAGATCTATATTTGACTGTCATAAAAAAGTTAATGATCCCATGATTTACTTATCTAAATTTCACTATTCATCAAACAGGTTCTATCTCATACGTTAATAACTACCTGTCTACCTCTATGGTCTATCTAACCCAACAAATCATATTTCATATAGACACTGCCACTTTAGTCAGTTTCATTTAATTCTACACCAATGTAAATATTTCAAAAATAAAACAAACGGTTAATTCGTAAATACAACTAAATGTTACTATGTATATCCAACAGACCAAAAAAAAACATAAGTACTTCATATATATTCATACACATAAAATAATCCAAAAAAAGAAAGGAAACAGTACTAATTAATTAAACAACCGAATTACTTTTTTTTTTTTTTTCCTAGAAATATTTCCTTTATAAATTTCCCAAAATGAGCAAAATTACAACCAGCGGGAGAAACTAAAGATAAGAATTACATATCAATATAGCTTAGAATAACTCATGAAACAACAATTTGATCAAGATAATCTGGAAAGAAAAGAAGTAACCTTAGAATTGAATGTACCGGAACTATGTTAACAAATATGACTCAGAATTTGACGGGTTCAAGATAGCAGATGGTTGGATCAGCCGACCAACACCGTCTTTAGACCAGCAAGCTTAGCTCGAAGGAGAAGCTGAATCTATTTGACAACTGCTTGTTGCGTCTTCACCCAGGAAACAACCGAATTACTTGATTACGAGTGATTAAATAACACTTTCTAAACAATCCTAAACCCCATCTTTAAATCAAACTACAAAAGGACTACTAGTAATCACATTCCATTGTTACTAGAACAAGAAGTTAAGCTATTATTATCACTAAACAATTGTGCAACCGATGTGACTTTCACACACTTCTTCACACTCACTCTATTCTTCTTCTTCTTGCTCCTCCACTTCTCCTCCGTCGTAGACCACTGAGCCTGAGCTATCTCTTCCTCCTCCGGAAAAACCATAGGAACCACGAAGTTAGTCTTTGCTTTCGACCCTCTAAGCCTCATCGCCGCCGCGTCATACGCACGCGCCGCTTCTTCCGCCGTATCAAACGTTCCTAACCAATGTCTACACCGACCAATCCTGTCTCTTATCTCCGCCGACCATCTTCCCCACGGTCGTTTCCTCACTCCTCTGAATCCTCCGTTCTTCTGCGGCTTCTTACGCCACCGTTTCACGCCACCTTCGGTCTCTATCACCGGAAAATGATCGGAGACTTTGTTGTTGTCACCGAAGAGTACGTTTTGGCCTACCACGGCGGCTATAGAGTCGTCCATGACCCGAGGAGGGCTTGCGTGTTCGGGTTTAGTGTTTTGAGAGAAGAGAGAAGAGATATCGAACGTAGTGGGCTCCGTTAACGTTACGTTAGAAAACGGAGTATTGGCTTCGAAGAGAGGCATGCAGAGTAACGGCATTTGTTGGGATAATCCATAGGTTTCGAAGCTTTGATTGGTTTCAAGAAAGAAGTTTAACGGAACGGGATTTTGGAGACGGTGAGAATAAACGGTGTTTTCCATTTCCTTAAGCAGTGATAGATATAATGGAGTTTAATTGAGTTTGTTGTATGCAAATTGTGGTCATGTGAACGTGCCTTGAACCATTTATTTATAGGGATGATAAAAATGGTTTTAATTAGTTAATTTCTTCGGATGTATTTTATTTAAAAAAATGATATTTTTGTTCCTAGTTAATTGGCTTGTAGCAAAAGATTATGGAGAATGCATTTTTGTTAAGTGAGATAATTAAAAGATACTGCTGTCAAAATCGATGAGACGGTAAAATCTTCCACATTTATGCGCCTGTCCTGCACAGTGAGAAGATGAAGTTTGTACCTTTTGTTTTGTTTCAATAGAGGAAGACAAAGTTTCATTTAGCAGTTTAAGCTTTTTTTGTTTGTTTCCACACATCTGATTGATAATAATATATCAACATTTGAATAAAAAGTAGTCACGAGAAATGGCAAGGATTTAATTAAAGAATTTCAATTTTAAGCAAAATAAGTAATATGAACCTTGAGACTACTTTATTTCCTTCTCTTAAAAACTACACGATTACGTAATCTAATACAGTAAATCTTAGGAAACCATCAAAGGCAAAATCGTGGTCTGTAATCTAAACGATTAGACTTGGTAGAGATGACATTTGTTAGATTACGTAAGGTGCGTAATCCCTTTAATGGACTCATGTCAACGGACGTGATTGTTTCAATTTATTGAACTTGTTTGTAAATAAAATTATAACCAAAAATAGTCATAAAAATATCCGAAATTATATAAGACATTTTCATTTGGTAAAAACAATTCTCTTAGGATTTATAAACCACATGTTTCAGAAATACAAATGAGTATTCAATCACAAGTTTAAATAACGAACAGAGATAAGTGTTTTTGGTAGGCATGTCAATTAGGATCAAAATCCGATGCCCGGTCCGGGCCGGCCCTAAAATATATCAGGCTCGGGCCTGAATATGTAAGCCCAAAAAAAATCGGGTCTTTCGGACTAAGCCCATTCGGGCTATTGAATTTTCGGGCTTTAGTTCGGTTGGGTTCGGGCCGATCCGGAAAGCCCGGAATTAAATATATAATTTGATATGATTTATAAATTTAGTAATACATTTTGTTAAAAAATATTTTATAGAAAGTACATTGATTAAAATATTTTTTACATAATTTATTTTG